TCTTCTGATCCACATCCGGGCTTCGATCCGCTTTTGGACTGGTCGCGTTATGCGATGTCGGCGTTACTATCGTCGGCGACATAGGACTCTTCAAGCTTGTTAGACCAAAGCAGGAATTCCTCCGCCGATTAAAGGGTTTCGGGCTCCTCTGACCATAACCGCATGACGAATTGACTGATCTACTGCGATCGATCATCGATGACGAGGTCGCCGACATTGGGTAGCTCGCCGCTTGTTTCAGATTCTTGCGCGGATCGCAGAATTGAAAGATGGGCGATTTGTGGCCAGGCGAGTGCAGTATTTCGCTGTTGGGGGTCATGGGACTGCGCGGTGGCCCCGTGACGCGGGTATAGTAACTGGGACTCCTGGGACTTCTGGGACTCCTGGGCCCGCGCTGCTGCTCGAGCTCGCCGGCGCGCCCAAACTCGTCGAAGTCGAAGTTCGTATTGGGCGTCTCCGGGTAGTACTCGGGCGGGAATTCGAAGACCAGCGGGGTACCGGGCGACTTGGTCAACGAATGACCGGGAGTCGGACTCCGTTGCTCGGCGATCGGCACCTGCTGCTGGAGGCGAGGTAGCGCCGGCAGCTGCCGTGGACTCCTCGGAGACTTGATATGGATCGATTGTCCGGGACTGTTGGTCGCCATCTCCGACACAGAGTCTCTCTGACGAATTTACCTTCCTTCCGGATTGCGTTATCTCTGACGGATCGACGTTCTAGACCGGGTATTTATCGTGGTTTTGTCATTGTCGCGTTGCAGAAACGATCGCCGCCGGCTTTCAAGCTACGTCCGTAAATCGTCCGTGTAATGTTCGACTACGACAGCCACTCTTCTCATTTCAATGAATATGCTATCAAATTTAATTTCGAAAATCTACGTGATCGCAGATATTAGGATGTTGCTGCATAAATGCGTTTGATTATCGTTTTGGCTGAACACGTCTTCTGGACTGTTAAACACGAAAAAAGAGCAGAAAATTTTTATGTTAAATTTTAAATAAGAAGTAACTAAAAAAATAAAATTAATCATGTTAAATTTTTTTTAACAAAAATATTTTCCAAATATATTACCTATATATAAAGTTCAGTAATCAATAACTTTTTACATGCATTAAAATTGCAAGTAATATATGAAACTTAAAAAAATCTTTTGCAAACTATTTGTTTTGTAAAAAATCTCTCTTTCTTTCTCTTTCTCATACCCACACACACACACACACACACACACATACAGAGGGAGAGAGAAAGAGAGAGAGATTTAAATTTTATATACACTCAATCATTTTCATTTTCCTTTAAAACTTTGGTTTTACTGTGTAGAAAATTACTTTAAATAGATCTAATTAAATAAAAAATTACTTTATCTCACATATTCAATGGATTCCTAATTAATTAATTATGATTGGATACGATACTACTCTGTGTAATATAGCGCGTGACCTATAACCGCAAGGTTAAAATGCACCTATGTCAAGTTCAAGATCGAAACCTGGCAAAAGTTATATATTGATCTAAATAAAGCAAAAAAAGCATAAAACACTTCAAATTATTACTTCATTAACACTGCTATTTTAATCAAAACAGAGAGACTCCATCTATATAATAATTATTGTAATAAAATAATAAGCTTATTCCTAAAAAGCAACGACGTTCAGTCAAACAAACAAAAATTCAGAATTTCTTGAATAAACATTTCTAAACTTTTCAGCCAAAATTTCAGCTAAATTTTCTGTTTATCTCTCTACTGCCATATAAAATTATCCGAAAATACACAATTTTATAACAATAAAAATTTTATCAAAAGAAGATATATTACTCAATTATTGAAAAAGCCATTTCCCAAATCATACAATAGTATTCAAACAATATTTACCATGCGCAACGTATTGTCTATATTATAATATAGATATAATAAATGATATTGATAAAATATCTGATAGAACACGCATGTCAATAATATCGCAATATAAACAAATACGACGATATACACGAAATCATTGGCCAAAGCGATACAGTTAGCCGACTAGAGATTAACCTGTTGATCGTCGCTGTCACGAAGAATATCGTCACGTTGTGTCTAGATGCCTGCGCCAAGACGTCAAACGATAACGTTGTGGTGCCTAAAACGGCGAAACGTGAAAACTCGCATCGCGCTTATTAAAAAAATTCGGTCTTAAACGAAAAAACGCACTCGTTGGATCCAGCCGAATTTTGCGTCGTGAAGAGAACAAAGCATCGACACGAAGATGCCACTTCGACGATGGCCGGCACGCTACTGAGGGGTTGCGATATGAAAGCTACCCCCACACCATTCGCTTCGCATCCGCCGCAAGCCACCCTTTTCGCATCCAGCTCGACCCTGGGGCATTCTGTTGTTCTCTCCCTCGCACATGCTCTTTCAACAATTCGCATTCGCGTTCAATGTTATTTACAACTTTGATGATTTTTGTCAAATCTTTGCAATTTTAAAATATCACATTTTTTTCCAACAATGTAATGTCATATTTTTATTAACTTTGTAATGGGAAATTTAATTTTTTATATTTTTTTATTTATCGCAAACATATTTTAGAAATGCTTTTTGCAGTATTTTGATATTATTTTTTATTATTAATAAAATTTATTATATAACAAAAAACAAAAAATAAATTATAAAAATATTTATTTCTATTGTAACTCTATTTTACGTAAAGATATTTCTTTAAACTTGTAAAGAAAAGTTGTACAACTTATATACGGGATTAAGTATAGTCATGTCACACGCACATGTGAAATAATAAATTTAATAGAATCACTGTGTCAGAGTCTGTAAGTTTTTAACTAACGCTTTTCCTATGAAAGCCTATGAAACGTATCGCCCATCGATGGTCTATTGAAAAAAGTTACGTTTATGTTTACGCCGAGGAAACTCATGAAGATATTGCGAGCTCATGGTTGAAGTCTGTGGCAACGGTATCCAACAGGTAGACGTTTAGCATATGCAGGCACATTGCAAAATCTAATATGCCTCTGATGTTGGTTCAAGCCCGTTTACCTAGCATAGTTCGACCTCTAATTAGTAAGGCACTATAGTATGCACTATGAAGGTCTCGCGCAGGGAGGAATCTGATTTGGTCTTCAGTCTGTAACTCCGGCTCATCGATTGGCAGTAGCACTCTATGGACGCGTCAGTCTTTGGTAAGAGCTACATCAGATCGCATAGATATTTCGAATCGAATTTAGACGTCTAGCAGATATTAGATATGTGAAATATAAAAAGAGAAGAGCGGCAAATTATATTATGTCGAATTCAACATTGTCAGATAACACTTCCAATGAAGCAACTAATCTCGCAAGAAGCAAGATTGTGTACCTATAGTATCATGAACTTTCCTTTTATCATTTGATAAGTTTAAGATCGATTGTTTGCTTAAAATAGAAAAAAATTGATTATCTATTATAATCTCTAAGCATTAACTCTGCCAAACTAAATTTGCATATTGAAAACTCTCGATGGAAAAAGTTTAATCAATTTCAGAAAAAAAATTATTAAAAAATGTATTCCAATAAAATAGTATTGCTTTATTTCATGATATTCAAGAGAAAAAATTTATAATTTATTCCAAATAACTAAAGAAGGAATTAAGTTAAATTAAGATTTTAAAAAAATTATCACGTTGTTGATAAGAAACGTATTGATTTTTTGGTCTGACTTATATCATCCGAGTAATACGTAAAGCTAGTAATATAAGCTAGTAATACACGTTATATTTAAAAATTAGGAAAAATCTTATCAAGAAAATTAATTTAAAAAAATTAATTTTATTTTACATGGCATATTCATAAAAATACTTCAATAATAACTTATTATCGCTGTAGTATATGCTAGAATGACAAAACATCATTTGCAGCTAAAATATTAATAAATCTATAATATTTCTCCGCATTTTTGATCCACAATTATGTATTTAGCACGGACATGTACCAACCGGCCGTTTTACCGTAGCACTGAAAAGTGAATCCGGCCATCAAGTTCTGTCGGCTCTAAAATGGATCTAGTTGACGCTATTGTACAAGCTAGAAAAAGCGTCTTTCGAAAAAGGGCGACGTGGCCTCTCTCAGGTTTCTCTCTGGTACCGACGAGATACTATTAACAGAGTGAAGCCTGAAAGCAGTCACGCCGCCGTTTTTCATAAGACGCTTTTTCTAGCTGGTACAGTAGTGTCAGCTAGATTCATTTTAGAGCTGGCAAAACTACATGGCCAGATTTATTTTTCGGTGCCACGGTAAAACAACCAATTGATGCATGTGTGTGCTAAATCCATAATTGTAGATCAATATTGTGGAGAAATATTATGGATTTATTAATATTTTATTATAGCTGCGCATGATATTTTGCCATTCTAGTATATTCTACAAATAGCAATAATAAGTTTGAAGTATTTTTATGTATACGCGCATGTGACATAAAATAAATTTTCTTAAATTAATTTTCCTAATAATTTTTTCCCTAATTTTTAGCATCTTCTCGACCGCAGCCAGAGAGATGCTTGTGAGGGGTCACGCCGCCGTTTTTCATAAGACACTTTTTCTAGCTGGTATAGTAGCGTCAACTAGATCCATTTTAGAACCGACGGAACTACATGGCCAGATTCACTTTTTGGTGCCATAGTAAAACGGTCGATTGGTGTACGTCCGTGCTAGACCCATATAATTGTGGATCAAAATTGCGAAGAAATATTATGGATTTATTAATGTTTTGTTAGCCGTGCGTGATGTTTTGCCATTCTAGTATATATTACGGACAGCGATAATAAGTTATTATTGAAGTATTTTTATGTACATGCGCATATGATATAAAATAAATTTTCTTAAATTAAAAAAAAAAAAATTTTCTTAAATTAATTTTCTTAATAATTTCTTTCCTAATTTTTAAATATATAACGTGTAGAAGATATTTACAATAAATTGCTTTTACTTTTTTCTTATTCTTGAAACAAAATTATCAAGCATTTTAAGCAATATTAAATTATGCTTTTATTTCATATAGCTTTTTATAATTAATTATTAATTTATTATTAATTATATTATTTAAGTAATTTTTTAATTTATTTAAATTCAGTTGAAGGCACTAGTGTGCACTGATGCACATTAAAAGCTATTATACAATATATACATTTATATAAGCATAGTTTATGTATATAAGCATAAGTAATTAAAACGATAAAATAATTAATACTATACAAATCTTTTGAAAATGAACATAACAATAAATACGCTTTGCTTAATGCCATTTTCATTTGAAGAACAAGATTCTTCGCTCTCGTTTGTCCACCAAACGTTTCGGAGCAAAAATAGTGTCTAACGGAGTGCATTTATCGAATATATAAAAACATTTATAAAATTTTTATATTTCTTAAATTTTTGAATGTAATTTTACTTGATTAATAAGAAATTTACAAATGAAATGACATAAAAAAACGTGACATTATTCGGATAAATTTCAATTAGATATAAATTTGAAAATTAGATAAAATATTTTTTTTCTTATCTAAATAAAAATTATCTAAAAATATATCTCATGTCATTTTAATTAAAAATCTCATTAATCCATTAAAATTATTCTCAAAAAATTACTTCTTAAAATAAAACATAAATGTTTTAGTTTTTATTACATAAGATTTTTGAATATTATAAATAAATTATTATAGATAACTAAAGGTTATTGAGAGCGAGAATGAGTTATTGTTTATTACATAATATTTCATGAGTATATGCGTCATATTATCGTAGAAAATAGAACTTTTATATTTTGCATTTATATTTTTATATTTTTACTTGTTTGAAAATAATTTTAATCGATTAATGATTTCTTGCGATTAAAATAATACCAGATATGGCATAAACCGGATTTTTTATTATGGATGAGTAAAGATCTCCGATGTCATCGAAAACGAGAGCAGAAACGAGTAAAGAGCAATTGAGCGATTTTTATTATATTTAAATTGTAATCAAAATTTTTATTAGTTAATTTTTATTTTTATTAATTGTTAAAAATTATCCGATTTATGTTTGTGTTTGATATTATTTTAATCGCAAAAATCTCATTAATCCATTAAAATTAAAGTAAGAATCAAAGTGATAAAAATCTAAATAGTAAATTATCGTTTTGTTGCGGTTCTTACGAATAATAACTATTTTTCTATCGATATTTAAAGTAAAGATATTTTGTCCCATGCTTTATCGTTTGACTTTTTGACGATATAAATATGATTTTGATTGAGAACGCGCAATAAAATAGTTGAATCGCAGGTCCGAGTAATTAACATAACGATAAACTTTGTGATATATATATTAATCGTTTATTAAATAATTGATCTATAATTTAAAATATTTGTATAATTTAATATTCCGCGTGTATATACGTCACAATACGGAAAATAATTTTGGCTGCAAATTATTAATAACATGATATGCGGCCTTGGCAGCGTAAACAATAGCGCGCTATTGTTTACGTGTTACGGCCTTGTTATTATTCGTACGGCGATACTTGAATAGTAGTGGTAGTGAGGAAGACGCTCCGTCAAATTTCTTTCCCACTCCCACTTCTTATTTCTTATCATTCACACGGCGACATTTAAACAGTGATATAATAGTAGTTTGAGACGTCAAATTTCTTTTCTAAATGCGATCGCGCCAAATATCGGAAAATAATATGATATAATTAATAATTAATTCTCTCTCTCTCTCTCTCTCTCTCTCTCTCTCTCTCTCTCTTTCTAGGCAACAATTTTTTTTTTTTTTAGATACTTAAAATTAAATATATTTTGTCCAATGCTTTACCATTCGATTTTTCGACGATCTAAATATGATTCGGATTGAAAACGAGCAATAAAATAATCAAATCGCAGGTCCGAGTAATTAACATAATGATAAACTCCGTGATATATTAATCTTTTATTAAATAAATGATCTATAATTTAAAATATTTGTATAATTTAATATTCCGCTTGTATACATATACGTCATAGTACGTAAAATATTTTTCGGCAGCAAATTAGCAATACCTGATATGGTATTTGGCCTTGGCGTAAACATTGGCGTGCTATTGTTTATGTATCATAGACTTATTATTATTTATACTGAGACTTGAATAGAACTGTAGTGGGGCGAGACGCTCACTCAACGACGACTGCCACACGATCTGCCTTTTTGAAGCCGAATCAAAAAATTAATTTAAATAATATATTTAAAAAAAGTAAAGTTTT